AACATGTTTGTGAAGAAATTTTAGAGTAAGGAATAATTTGGAAGTATAATAACTAAAAAATTAGTGAGTTTCTTAAAAAAGAAATTATGAGAAAATGTTTGAGAAGTAATTTAATTTCTTTACCATTGTTGCGTCCTGGAGTATTTGCGGAGGTAGAGAAATATAAAGTTTAACGTCTTAGCATTGTACGAAAATCCGTCACGCAATCAGATAAAAAGAGAGGGTGCGTTATCCATTAGAGACACCAAGATTTTTACGTGGAAAACCCCTAAAAATGGGGGGGGGGGACCACGGGGCCTGGCCCAGTATCAATGAATCCACTAGTATTGTAGTTGATTACAAAGGATGTCCTTCCTCAGGGGAAGGCCTTAGCTTGATGTGCATCTTATAGAGTATATTACATGGTTAGAATACAAAGAATCATTGTTTATGTGTTTGTTTGGTCTGAAGGATTGTAGTTCGTGTGCGACGTAAGTCAGAAAGATCGTAGTCGGTGGGCGACAGAGATCGGAAGGACTTTAGTCGGCGAGCGACATAAGTCAGAATGACCGTTGTCGGCGGGCGATGGAGGCCAGAAGGACTGTAGTCGGCGGGCGACATTAGTCAAAAGGAACGTTGTCTGACGACATAGATCAGAAAGACGGCGTCAGGTAGACATCCATCAATTGAGAGAAATTCAGAATCAGATAGATGTCCGATGAAAGTCCGACAATAGGTAGAAGTCCGGCGTCGGGTAGAAACTTGGCGACGAGCAGAGGTCCGACGTTGGGTAAAAGTCTGACGCCAGTTGGAGGCCGAGGAGAATTCTGACGTTAGATGGTATTCTGGCAGAACTCCGGCGTCACTTGAAGGTCGGACAAAAATCCTGCGTCACTTGGAGATCGACATAATTCCGGCGTCACTTGGATAGAATTCCGACGACGGTGGTCGAGGAGGAGTTCTTCCCTTTTATCATTCTTCTTTTCTCCTTCTTCTCTTGCTTGGGTCCCTCCTCCTCTCAAGAGAAATGAGGGGCTATTTATAGATTTTTTAGGATGACATGACCCGTAAATAGGAGGATGATCAAGGGCAATTGTAGAGTGGTTTGAATGGACGGCCAATATTGAATCCCTTGATCATGGACCGTTCATCAGACATTTGAATGTCTTAATGATATCGGAATTTGGCAATCTTGGGCTCGTTGGATTTTTCTCGTCGAGCCGCTCGATTTGACTATAATCACGTTATGTTTGGAAACCGTTTGGTAACTTAAATTGTGGCTTGGACCTTCCGAATGTGCTTTTGGCCTTGATTTGGACTCATTTGTGCTCGGATTGAGTCAAATTTGGTGTCGTTGGGTACGTATTAATTATTGTTTTTTAGTTCGGTTTAATTTCAATATATATATCTTTGTTGCGTCCTGGAGTATTCGCGGCGATAGAGAAATATATAGTTTAACGTCTTAGCATTATACGAAGATCCAGCACACAAGCAACTAAGAGAAAGGGTGCAGCATTCATAACAGATACCAGAGTTTTTATGTGAAAACCCCTAAAAAGGGGAGAAAAACCACAGGGCCTGGCCCAGTTTGAATGAATCCACTAGTATTTGCAGTCGATTACAAATGAGGCCCTTCAATTCTTAGGGAGAAGGACATGTCTTGATGTTACAAATGTACGTCATATATAGCACATTACATGGTGGAAGTTATAATAATCAACATAAAAATGTTTGTTTGGTTAGAAGAGCCATAGTCAGCACGAGACAGGAGTCTGAAAGACCGTAGTTGTAAGGAGACCAGGGTCAGAAAGACCATTGTCTGATGATGGAGGTCGGAAGGACCATAGTAGGTGACGGAGGTCAGAAGGACCGTAGTCGACAGGAGACCGGGGTCAGAAAGATCGTAGTAGTAGGGCAATAATTCAGTAGAACTCCAGGCATCATGCAGTGGTTCAGCAGAAGTTCGGGCCTCAGGTGGGGGTCCAGCAGAAGTTCGGGCCTCAAGTGGTGGTCCAGCATAATTAAGTTCAGGCCTTATTTCCTGGTCTGGCAGAAGTCCAGTCGTCACGTGGTGGTCTGGGAGAAGTTTGGGCCTCAAGTGGTGGTCCAACAGAAATATGGGCGTTAGGCGGTGACCTGGTGGAGCATAGGGCCTCAAATGGTGGTCAGGTAGAAGTCCGGGCCTCAAGTGGTCCGGTGGTGGTCTGGTGGAGCAATGATGTCAGGCGGTAGTCCGACCGAGGTGAGGGCCTCAAGTGGTGGTCCGGCATAGCTCAGGACCTTAAGTGGTGGTCTGGCGGAGCAACGATGTTAGGCGGTGGTCCGACGGAATTGAGGGCCTCAAGTGGTGGTCTGGCGGAGCTCAGGGTCTTAAATGGTGATCCGGTTGAGCAACGACGTCAGGAGATGGTCCAGCGGTGGTCCGACAGAGGTAATGGCCTCAAGTGGTGGTCCGAAGGAATAACGACTTCAGGCGGTGGTCCGGCGAAAATTAGGGCCTCAAGTGGTGGTTCGGCGGAAGTCCGGTGGTGGTCGAGGAGGAGCTTCTTCTTTCTCTTCTTTCCCTGGTCCCCTTTTCAAGAGGAATGAGGGGTCTATTTATAGATTTATGGAGTGGCATGGCTCATAAATAGATGATAGATCAAGGGTAAATAGGGAGTGGTTGGATGGACGACCGATGTTGAATCCGTTGATCATGGACCGTTTGATGGGCATTTGAATGTCTTAATGATGTCGGAATTCGACGATCTTGGGCTCGTTGGATTTTTCTCATCGAGCCGCTCGATTCGATTATAAGCACATAATGTTTGGAAACCGTTTGGTACTTCGAATTGTGGTTTGAACCTTCCAACTGTGCTTCGGATCCTTTATTTGTACTCATTTGTGCTCGGATTGAGTCAAATTTGGTCTCGTTGGGTTCGTATTTCTGAGATGTTCAATTTGACTGTAAGTTTGCTGAAATCGAAGTTTGGATGGTCCCAATTTTAATTTCGGAAGTTACCAACTTGATTTTGCATCGAGATTCGTTCCCGATCAAGATAATTTTTTGATGACGTATCAATCTTAATAGTAAAAATATCAATCATAAGCTATCAATTTGGGATTAATCATTTATATTAGATTAGATGGCTCAACAGGAGCTGAATTGGACGAGAGCTAGCCTGTAATTAATGAGACAAATGTGAGACAGGTTGGCTGGGAAGGAGCCATGAAAGAGATGGCTTCATTGAGAGAAATTAGGAGGGACAAAATTAGGTCAATGGGTTAGGAAAGTGAATGAATCAGAGATCGACAAGTTGAAGCTACGAAGACAGAATTAATTAGGCTTATAATCTAGAGTTAGAGAGACTAAGACAGGCTGATAGCAATCCAAATAGGTTGCATGTAGAGGTGTCAACAGTGAATCCGACATGAAAATCTGATTTAGGTTTCATTTGGGACAGCTTTGTTGTTGTTTTCTAAAACAGATTTCTAGTATAAAAATTTGTTGAATTAGAAAATTTTATACTAAAAATCCTTTGTAGGAAGCAGTACGAAAGCGGTCTCAAACGAAGCCTTAATCTTATCATGAAAATTTCAAGTTCAAGTCAACATGTCACCCATGTAATATTTGGTTTAGATTAGTGTAAGCTTTGGTGTCTTGAAAAAACTCTGGTTAGAATTGAGTTATATCAAAAAACAAAAAAAAAATATTATTTATTGCATCTAAATTTTGTAATTGTGTCTGTTTCAAATTAGGTTGACAGTAACCCAGCAAAGTTTACGTATTTTGTCAGATAAATATGCTCGTGTTCTTCCATCAAGATGATTGACAATTTCGAACGGTTCATTAAATAGGCAGTATTCGCTTTCAAGCTGATTATATTCGAGTCCAATCACATTAAAATTGAACCTAAAGCCAACTAATACCTGCATTCAAGTCAAGCATCCCACAAACCCTAAAGCAAATTGATGAGGTCTAGTTATATCCAAGGGGCCCATGATTTTGATTGATGTGGCTCATCTTTATCACCATTGCTTGAGAATCATCAAAATTTACTGTGAAAATCATATTCTTTTTATTATCTTTTTATGTAGAGTTCAAACCAAAAAAAAAAACTATGGCTTGTTTCTCTGTGTGTTTGACTAAAACCCTAATAATATACATATAATACAGTGTGAAACAGCAATAAAATTTTGTTTATAAAGGGAGTTGTTGTACTGACTCTCTACCTAAAGCCAGAGACCAGCTCCTTTTATTTGTGTCTTAAGAAAAAAATATATGCACCAAAAGAGGCTCCCCACCCTCTCCTATCAATCATGTGGGAACAAATTTATGTCTTCCACTTGGTGGTTAGCCATTTAACAAAGCTAATTAGACCATCAGTGTAGAAAAAGAGAGAATCATTTCTTGATTTTGTCTTTTTTAGAATTTCTTTTTTACATATTTTGTGGAGAGAATTAGACCACTTGTTTCTTTTTTAGAATCATTTTTTAGAATTTCTTTTTTACATATTTTTACATGTTTTATGGTATTGAGTTTGTTTGGGATGGTTGTAGTTTTTAATAAAGGGAGTTGTAATGTTGACGTGCAACTTCTGTATTAGAAAGCTGCTTTAAGAAGTAGCAAGAAAACCGTCTCAAACGAAGCCTAAAAGCATTGCATTCTCATATAATTTGTATCGATATGGACTTCAAAATTATTAAATTTACTTTGAAATTTAGTGTTACGTATGAACAATTTGCATAGCACTAATCTCAAAACAAATCCGATAATTTTAGAGCCCATCTTAACACAAATTATATATATCATACTATCCTCACACAGTTCTTTTTCAATTTTAAAATCTTCCCTCTCTTACATCAGCAAAGCATAAGCAGACTATCAAACCAAGAGCACAACTTAAATATTCTGCATTCTTCGCTAATCCATTGAAGCTCCATACTTCAAAAACAGCATCAATCTCGAGTCCAATATTCACCATCTTCTTCCCCTCCACCAAAAACTTCGAAGCTCCATCATACAAGACTCCTTCCTTCTCATGGAATCCTCTACCAAGCCTCCATTGAACCTGAAATGGCTTCTCTGCTTGCTCTCCGGATTCATTGGCCTCTTCCTTCTCTCCTACCTTAACAACAGACACAGCCCGTCTTCCCCTACCGTTGAATCCCTTCAAAACCTCAGCTTTTACAATCTAAGTACCATTATTCCTAAGTTCAATCACTCAGTCGTCGAAGCACCACAGCCCGTCATTATCGCCCCTAATTCTCCTCCTCCTCTCCCCACCATTGCTTACTCTTCAGCCTTGCCTCCACAGGAAAGTATTCCAGAGAAAACCTGCAACATATTGGAAGGCAAGTGGGTTTACGATCCCAAAGAATATCCTCTTTACAGAGAGAAGCAGTGTCCCTTCCTCAGCCAGCAGGTGAGCTGCCAGAAGAACGGGAGGCCGGATTCTGACTATATGAGGTGGAGATGGGAAGCCCAAGGCTGCGATATCCCAAGGTAATAATTAAGCTCTTTGAACGCAGTTGATTGAGAAAGAAATTGAAGATAGTCAGATATATATACTTACTGTGGAGTTACAAAAACTCTTGAAGGTTTAATGGAACTGAAATGCTGATGCGGTTGAGAGGGAAGCGAGTGGTTATTGTGGGAGACTCGCTGAATAGGAATCAATGGGAGTCGCTTGCTTGCCTTCTCTACTCTTCTGTTCATCCATGGCGTGCCGTGATCAAGCTGCGGGGCTCTTACAAACTGTTTCGAGCCATCGTACGTTGAATCAATCAAGTTCTTGTCAACTTGTTCAAGCGCAATCTAAGAAAATAGATAAAAAAAGAGGATATTTATTACCTATTTATGTAGATACGTAGCACTCAAAATTATTTTATTAAGATATTTAATATTAATTTTTTTATTCATAAAATAAAACTCTTTTAATGGATCTAACGAAACCCTCGATGATGGGAAAAATTATTAGGTGCGGAGTGCGCACCGTCCGCACAAGCATTGGGGGGTGTTCAGTACCGCTCGGTACCGAGCACCTCCTTGTTGCGGACGGTTCTCCCCGTCCACACTCCGCACCTAATAATCTCTCCGATGATGGAGTCGCAAGAACCCATCGTAGCTTTGTCTTTGCATGTTATTAGTCTTACTAAGCTCTTATGACTTTTTTGTTTCTTTTTCATAGAGAGTTTTGGGAATTGGGGTAGGAGTTGGAGGGGAGATGGTGGGAGGAAAAGGGAGAGAGGGTTAGGCTGGAGAAATTATTCTGTGCGGTCACCGAACGGCTCAAAGACGAATTAAAACTCCCACATCATCAGGTACAAAGCATTACATAGCAGCGGTATAAAACAAAAAAATGAAGTTGAGTGTTCTCATTCGCCTCTGGACGCCATTCGTTGACCGCACATAATAATTTATCGTTAGGTTGAGAGTGAGAAAGTGTTTGAGAACGGGCAAATGTCGAGAGGGTGATTTGGGTGTTTGGTTGAGTAGAACACGGTGAATTTATGATTTTCTTTTAATTAAATGAGGGCCATATATAGTGAGATCTCAGAGTTACTTCATCATCATTTTTTAGGGTTTCGTCAAGCTACATCAATTGGGTGCTATATTCTATAGATAATGAAATTTACATGTTAAATTTACAAATAAGATAATTTTGAGTGTTATGTATGTAAATTCTACTAAAAATTTTGTGTATGTCATAATATTATGTCTTGATAGTCATAAAATTTATTAGATTTGTCTTGAAATTAATGGCATAAATGAAGAGTTTTGTATTGTTCTAATCTCAAAGCAAATCTACTAATTTTCAAATGCATATCCTAATGCTTTGTATTAATAAGTTTTGACATAATTTCTCTCTAATAAAATACCTTAAAAGCATGTAAATAAATTGTTTTGATAGAAGTAATTGAATTTGCTTTGAAATTAGTGTTGCATATGAATAATTTATATTGCACTAATCTCAGTACATCTGATGACTTTCAAAATCATCCTAATACAATTTGTTTCGAATGTCCTGATTTTTTTTTTAGAAATAATTTAATTTACTCTTAATTTGAAGGATTATGACTGCTCAGTGGAGTTCTACTGGAGTCCATTCCTAGTGAGAGTGGATGAGAACAAAGACGGGGATAAAATTCTCAAGCTCGATAAGATGCCCGAAGAGTCTCGTATGTGGCAAAGCGCCGCTGTGCTCATCTTCAACACCGGCCACTGGTGGACACATAGCGGCAGAACCAGAAGGTGCCTAAACATCCCTTCTCAATATCAGACAATTCTATAAATAATATTCAAATTTTAATTATTTATGATACTTATATTCATTTTTTTAATATAAATGAAATTCATGTGTTATGATGTAATTAAGCATTTATTTTAGTGATTTTGAAAAAGCTGGGTGGCTGGATGAAATATGATGCAGTTGGAAATACTATGAGTGGAGAGGGCAGCTGGTGGAGGATATGGAGCGGGACGCCGCATATGAGATAGCTATGCGGACTTGGGCTACATGGGTTGATCGCCATGTAAACCGGGACAAGACAGCCGTCTTCTTTCGTAGCATTTCTCCAGAGCACAAGAGGTAAATGACAATTTCAAATTTAATAAAGTTACTAAATACTTTAAATATAGTATAAATTAAAAAAAAAATTAAAAAAAAAAGTTTCATTTGTAAATAATTTAAAAATAAAATAAACTTTTTTTTTTAAATGAACCGTCATAGAAATTGGGAAGGAGATTGTGATAAAAAGTAAATATCGTTATGAGAGCTCGTTGTGGAAGACATTGGTGAGATTAATGTTCTATAAAGGAGCAAAGTTCATGGAGGGAGCTCATGGGTGTATGTGTTGAAGGAGAAATTATTACCTGTGGTCTCCAGATGAGTTCGAACTCCAACGAGATGTCGCTTGTATACAGTAGTGTGTCCAACTTATACTTTTTACATAAATTGTACACACTACTGTTTACAATCAACATGTGTCACAATCTCATTGGAGTTCGAATACTAGTTACATTTGAAATTTGCACATAATAATTTCTTGAGTTGAAGGGATTTGTGCTATGTAAATGGGCAAGTATCAATGGGAGGTCATTAGGGCAAGTTAAAAACAAATTAATAATGATAAATTTACACAAATTAAAGAGAAAAACTACTACAATATATGACATATAATATTTAGTTCGTCCTTCTCACACAGACACACATATATAAAAAACAAATTAATAAAGGGAACATTTTCAAATTTATAATATAATTCTTATGCATTTACATAAATAACATCTAATTATTCATATTTACTTTTATATAAATTACATTCAAGTGGTTAGAATTTTAAAATAATTAAATAATATTTTCAACATATTGGTCTTTACCTTGAATAAAGTAATCATAGACAGTGGAACCGGACTTAATTCTCAAGGAGAGTCAAATGACAAACTTATTAAAAATAATATATATATATATAATTTATTTTACACGATCATTTATCAGAGATTTTTTATTATTGTTAGAAAAATTCAACATAATCGAATAAAAATAATAGGAGGCCAAGATATTTGGAGTGACAAACTATGTGAAAAAAAAATGGGCTGAAGGCAAAAATTAAAATTCAGGAGGGGCAGACTACAAATAACCCTTATTATACTAAGAATTTTAATTTTTTTCAGGGAGAGCAATTGCCTCTCTCAGCAGTACGAACAATTATTTGGTTCGGTGAACGTACGCTCCTCTACGTTCGGCCACCAATATTTTAGCGACACGTAGCATTAAGAAAAGTCGCCGACCCGACCCGCCGTTTTTTGGGTTCTCGTACATGCATTTTTTTAATTCCTTTACAAACCGAACAACATCCCATCACTTTTTGGATATATTTCAAATATCTAGCAAATACCGAGTTGTACCTAGTTTTTTCTAGCAATACCGAGCAAATACCTAGCAATACCGAGCAAATACCTAGCAATACCGAGCAAATACCTAGCAATACCGAGCAAATACCTAGCAATACCGAGCAAATACCTAGCAATACCTAGCAAATCCCTAGCCATACCGAGCAAATCCTGAGCAAATACTGAGTTGTACCGAGTTGTACGGAGTTGTACCTAGTTTTTTCTAGCAATACCGAGCAAATACATAGCAATACCTAGCAAATCCCTAGCCATACCGAGCAAATCCTGAGCAAATACTGAGTTGTACCGAGTACCGAGTACCGAGTACCGAGTTTTTTCTAGCAATACCGAGCAAATACCTAGCACTACCGAGCAAATCCCTAGCAATACCAAGCAACTCCTGAGCAAATACTGAGTTGTACCGAGTTGTACCTAGATTTTTCTAGCAATACCGAGCAAATACCTAGCACTACCGAGCAAATCCCTATCAATACCGAGCAAATCCTGAGCAAATACTGAGTTGTACCTAGTTTTTTCTAGCAAATCCTGAGCAAATCCCGAGCAAATCCTGAGCAAAAAAATAAAGCATTCCTGGGTTCCGCTCCGGGTCAAGTCGTCGGGCCGCGCGGTAAAGAGTAAGAACACGTGGCGATATGTTATTGGCGGCCGAACGTACCTCTACGTCAGGACAGAGGACGTAATAATTGTTCCAGCAGTACACAATTCCGCCCGTGATCATAGAGCTATGAAATATGGTATTTAAAGCTTTTGATATTGCAGGGGAAACCTACATTGGTGCTACAACGAAACCAAGCCAATAAGTACTCATGAACGATACATACAAACGTTTCCAAGATCCATGGTTTCCATAGTGGAGAGAACCATAGGGGATATGAAAACACAAGTCAAGTATCTGAACATTACTGGACTGTCAGAGTCGAGAAGAGACGGCCACACATCCATATACACTACAAGGCAGGGAAAGCTCCTTACAGAAGATGAGAGGAAGAAACCAGATGAGCTCGCCGATTGCAGCCATTGGTGCCTGCCAGGAATTCCAGATACCTGGAACAATCTGCTCTATGCCTCCATTGTAAGATCTTCTAGCGTTATTTTTTAGTTCGGTAATTGTTTAGCAGAGACGCCTAATTCACAGATCAATTTTTTCACCACATCAAATGATGGGAGAGGGAGAACCAATCATGTCGATCAATGATCGTCACTCTAGAATAACAGTAGCATTTTGTTTTCATCCCACAAGTGTATTAACTATTAACGATCAGGGTATTCTTTTTTTTTTCTTCTTCTTCTTTTACTTTGATGAGTCGGATAGAATAAGAAAGTAAGAAACATTCAAATGTGTGATTACTGACTGGTTTTGATAATATAATAGCTGATTAAGTAACTTATGCAAAAATATTAAAAACAATTATTCATTATATAATAAAATCATGCAAAGAATAGATTAATATTTCATTTGTGATAACTTTTTTACTATTTTTTTTTAAATAGCTTTCTAGTACAAAATTTTTTTGAACTAATATATTTTTTTTACTAAAAACTTATTTTATAAAGCAACAAATAAATGCATAAGCTAGATGTTTGCTCCAAAGAAAAAACACTGTAATTTTGCATAGGGGTGGATCGCCCTTAAGCTCGGGAACAATTATTTAGTCCGGTGAACGTACGCTCCTCTACGTTCGGCCACCAATGTATTAACGCCACGTAGCATGAAGAAAAGTAGCCGACCCGACCCGCTGTGTTTTGGGTTATCGCACGTGTTAAATTTTAAATGGCAAAAAAAACGGAAACACTTCGAAGTGCGACGCTACACCTGGATAGAAAAGGTCTAATTAGACATCCATCCTCTCTTTGTTGTTCTGGAGGATTTACTCATATATATAGCTCTCCAATATCATATTTACAAGCCCAACATCTTAAACCATTAGTTGCTCATTATAATCTATACTTTATATATATAATTGCAGGTAATAACAGCACAGATCTAACATTCTTTGGATTAGCAGAGCGCAAATGACCAATTAATAATCACGAATATATTTTTCATTTAGTTATCGAGTATCCTTCCTTCTTACTATACTTCTCATAAGAGTTATTATGTTATTTTAATTAAAATATTGGGCATCGCAGAATCTGAACAATCAATGATCCAAAGGGCTTGTTTATTTGGCATCTGGTATGAGGATGGGTCCAAAAAGGGAGAATTATTCTGTGCCTCCGGAGACCAATCAGAATGAGCAACATCGGTATCACGATTTGATACCATGCTCAGTATTGCTAACATGGCCCATTATGATTGGTCTCTGGGTGTAGAGTTATGTTTGGCATCCACAAAGAATAATTTCTCCCAAAACATCGTTTTTACGATAACCGCGATTTTTTTTTTTTTTTTGCTTTTAAAATAAAGGATGTGACCTCCCGGTAATTTAGGAAATGCAAGGAACCAGGTTCCCACAGATTGGTAGTACATACATTGAACATTAATGATGAGAACTATACCTTATCCTGTCTCTATCCACTTCCTGAAGTTATTATATTTAATACACTTTCAACCATCTAACAATTTACTAATACAGAACAAAACCAGAAAATTAATGCAACCGGTTATATCGATTATTGATTATTGCAAACAAGTTCAGGCTGAGAAACCTTACACTCTCCCCTCCCTAATGAAAAATTATTACTTGCGGCATCCGGATTCATCCGGAGGCGAATCCAAATGTGCCGCGTCACCCGGGGCCAGGTGCATTTGGATGACCTAGCGCGTCTGAATTCGCCTCCGAACGGTCCGGACACCGCACGCAATAATCTATCCTGCCTAACAGCATATAAAGGCCATGGTACTGCGCCGGTAAATTTCCCAGAATAAAAGGGCAAGGAAGAGGGAAGAGGACACGCAACAAGAAAGCCAAACGAGGCTATCTAATAATATCTATCTCCAAAAGTGGTGGTACTCAACATGTTTGGCATGTTCAAAGAGGACAAAATACACTCAGCTTGATTATGTGTTGGAACCAAGAACAGCAAAACAAAAGTAGATCTATAACCTCAAAAGATTGCAATCCACCGATAAGCAGGAGTAAATAATTTTAAGCTCAGCTTTTCAAGTACAGCGACAAATCTTGACATATTTGCATTTTATGGCAATGGGTTTGTGTGTGTGAGTGTGAATAAAAAGATGCAAACATGCACATATTCACAATAAAAGAAAAAAGAAATATAGGCGCTAAAAATAGTTTAAAATAGAATAGATGCACTAGAAAAACACCAATAGGAATAGGAGGAAATAGCGTGTACTCTCCCCTCCTGCCTTTGAAAAAGCATTAATGAAAAAGACAAACAAAATCATTTGATAATCAATAAGCATGATATATAAACACCTTTAATTAATATGCTATAATAAAATAATATTGATTGAACTTAGAGGCGGCCTTAAGAAGGAGATGCGAGGACAAACATTTTTCTTATGATAGCCTAGCACAATGTGAACTAGGTTTACTTTCTCTCTTTCTATTCTTGAGAAATTTTATTTGTTCATGCAAACCGAGGATTGTAAGGCTTGGAGCCTCTTGTTGTCCAAATAAAATAAAAAAATCAGAACGCAAAGTAAATGAAGCGGAAGACAGCTCAAAACTACAGTTACTATGGCTCATCACCGCCTCTAAATACAAATTGGAAGAAAGATGTAGGCTAATTTGGTATATCATACTTCAGGGAAAAATAAAATCAATAAATAAGAAACAAACAAAACTCCCCAATTAATATACATTAACGCGAACTACACTTTCCTATATTAAAGAAACCAAATGCAATAAGCACGAAGCAACATTAACACATTCGAAAAAATATCTTTAAGAAAGATTAAGGCTTCGTTTGGGACGGCTTTTTTACTGCTTCTTAAAACTGTTTTTTGTCCAAAAATTTTAATTTTTGTGCTAGAAACCTGCTTTAAGAAGCAATTAGAAAGCTGACTCAAACGAAGCCTTAGTTGTAAAAAGTTTACTTAGCTTTCTTATAATGATAGTTTTCGTAGCTTCTTGGGTAAGTGATTTGCCGGTTTTTAGTTTTTTATCTAATTAATTAATCTCGTCCATTTAATTAAATATGTACAAAATAAAAATAGAATATCATATCATATACATCATATGCATCATTCAAGCATCTCATAACAAAAACACCACTGCTCTGTACCCAACAACCACAATTCTTACAACGCTTTAGACGATTACTTTCACATGACTTTATCAAACGTTCATCCAAGTTACAGCACAAAAGACAATGTAAAACAACATAGCCAAACGGATCCAAAACGGCATGATTAATTAACAAGCACCCAGATCCATAATTCGTTGGTGAAAGCATGATAAAACACACACAATTTCAGTGTCCTAGCGCAAGTTCAGATTTAATCACAAACACCACATCAGAAATCCTCTTACCATATGGGAAACATAGTCAAATTGGGTGGGCAAGTCGCACAGTAAAACGTTCGAGCATATAACTACTAGAATTACAATCCTGGACATATGAAGTTTAGCCTTGCTGGAGAAATCAGAAACATCAAACATTGGAAGTAGCAAGCGGTTAACTTACCTACTAAACATACCAAACTTCATCTACTAGATTATATATCTAAGAACAACAAGTGCAAAAGAAAATTGAAAAGATTCCACACAACAAAGTTCACTGGTTCTTAAAATACTATTTCTAGTGAATCCAAACAACAAGCAGAGTAAACCGAACTGCAGAGCAGATAAGCAGAAGCATCATCAAAGATTTTGCAAACATCATCAAAGCAGCATTCAGCAAAACCATTCAAAGCATTTGCTCCCAAGAGTTGTCAGACACCTGAATAGCACACCCATCATAACTCATTTAATAAAATGATGAATACAATAAATAATAAGTCAAGCGTATATAATAAGCTAAAGGAGGCGCATAATCATATAAAATAAGCTAAAAGAAACTGACTTACAATTAAAAAAAAAAAGAAATAGATACAAAAGCAACAATGGCAAATATTACAACTAGTCAATATAACAGGAAAAAAAAGCATCTAACCTGTGAAATAAAACAAAATGAAAGTGCAAGATATTCCATGACTGCTATCTAGTTGAACATTCATTAAAATCTCATCATGATCATCATCAAGATTCAGGCTTATACAATGATGCGTGTTTTCCTAACTCTAGTTTATTTAAAATCTTTTTGCACAATTTCTAGCTGACACTATCAATCTAACCCCTTTTCATCCTATCCCTCTGACTTAATGCTATCCACCCTTTGGTCCAGTTTCCAGTGTATTGTACTTTTAATAGTAAGTGCCAAACTGAATGCCTGACAATAAAAATAGAGAGTTATAGCAATGAAGTAAACAAAACACTGCCATGTTATAAGTTTTCATCAATAGAAAATATTATAATCTTAACAGCAGAAAGCAAAGTAAACAAGCAAATCGTCAGTAATAACCCCTAACATTAAAAGTTCATGTAACAAAAGAACTTAAAATCAGACAAAAAAACTGGTTCAATATAATGAGCAATGTGTTGCAAGATGCACAGGGAGCAATACACAGTTACATACAAAATACTCTAGCAGGATACCAATGAACAAATAAGGGAGCAGGAATATTGCAATTCTAACTGCATGTCTTATAAAACAAGGAAGTTACACAAAAATCATGAATAGCAAACATTTTGGAAAGGCTGCAACAAAAAGTAATAATATCAGAAAAATACTTCTAAACACCTTTTACTAAAGAAACTAACTAGACGACACTTGACACAAAGATGATATTCAAAACTTCAGATCTATCTTTGGCTATAACCCTAGACATAAAGGCCAAAGAAATCATTCAAGAGCTAAGAACCAAGATTGCTTGAGAAGAGAGAGATGGGAGAGGCCTTTGCCTTTGTAAACTAAGATCGATTTAGAAAAATATGTCACAAATAATATTTAAGCAAGAGAGTTCTTCACAGCTACAAAATTTTGACATGTACAACAAATTCATAACAAGCCGTCACCTCTCTATCATTCCAAAAGCATAAAATATGTAAACTGATGAACAGTGAAAAAACTCTTTTAAAATACCTATTATACAACAAATAATTAGATATGCACCAATCAAAATATAAGATGAACAGCAAGATAAAAAAGAACAATATATGATCTTGTTAATCACATTAGAAGTCATATAAAATATTGGATTAGATGACCAGCGGGAATGAAAAAATGCATGTTTGTTGCATTAGTTTACTGCACCTAAAAACATTATCACCCCCAAGAAGCTAAAGAAGAATAATAATACGGGCAAGAATGGTTTGTTTATGAAGATTGCAGCATCAATTAAAAAAAAGTACCAAAATGTAAAGGAGAAATAAGAATAAAAAAAACAAGAAGATAATGACGTAAATTTCGTGGATTAAAACTATTTTAAATTAATTGCACGTTATCTTTCATTCAAGAAGACAAACAAACAAACAAAAAAATGAAGGAATGACGTCACCAAATTGCCTAAAATTACAAAAGAAGGGAGTTGACCAAAGGCCCTAAAAAGGCGTTCCTTTTTTTGGAAATGCATAAAGTGAAGGCAAAAGGCACTCAGGTGGTAGCTTTACACTACCCAATCACCTGAAGCGCACAAAGGAACCAAGGACATAGGACCTAAATAAGTACGGCTTTGCCACTAGAGTTTCGAACTTTTGAAGTCACAAACCAAACTAAATTCCATCCACTTCAATATTTCATATGTTATCTTTGGATCATCAATAAAAGCTATCACAAGTCATGGTACCAGCACAAACAAGCACTGTGAATATAAAATCATCAGTTATAGCTTCGGACGAAAAGCTAAAAAGAGATTCACACTTAGCTTTTTTGGTAAAATATGGTTGCAGTGGCCAAAGTAATACTACCACGCCAATAATAAAAATCAATTCCCAAACCAACATAACCGAGGACAACAATGACCACAAAACCATTGAAATTTAAACTAAGCGTCCTGTGCCTAGAAACTCCAATCACTGACTACCGACATAAAACTACTGTACGGTGTTTTAAACAGCATAAACAAACCATTCCTAGTATTTGCACTTATAGCTTGTACAAGTCTACAAAGTACTTGATGCACCTTTTATTTCTACAGTTAGACTGAGGTGCTATCCTACTCCAGAGGGCCCTACTTCCTAATCATACACCATCAATATTTCTTATTTCTACTGCGGCTTCAGCTGCAGGCTGTTTGGCGGATATGATTCTGCGGCTTCTATCTTTGCAGTGTCTTGCTGCTGACATTGTTTCTATTCTTAGGTTAGGATTCATTCAGCTTGATTCCTCCGGGTGCCAAAATATTGCAGCTTCAAGCATTTGCAACTGTTTCAGAAGCTCACTTTAGAGTTGTACGTTTGGATTGTAGCAGGCTTCAGCAGTTCCTTTGAATTTGTACTGTATCGGGATAATCTGAAATCAGTTCTTTGTGGGTGCCTGTTGTGGGTTATTAGTTATTCCTACTGAGGATGCTTCCTTCGTGATTTTCTTTGATCCTATACGTTATAAAAAAGGAATGTGAGGCATATTCTGGGGAAAAAAAAACACTTTTCCTGGCTTAATAGAATTTGTTCTAAATGTGCGAATCACTCTTCTCCTTCTAAACTTCCATTTCATGATTGAACTAACATCTACTACTCCTATCTCAAACAAAGGCAAATAACCATTAGCAAATATTGTAGATCATGACAGATCACAGGAAGCAAATAAATTATCAGTATTTTTCTTATCTTTACCGGAATAAAGTACTTTAAATTATAATTTCTAGCATTCGTTTGTCATTTTAATTGCTATAAGATAATAGCTTACTTTAAACAAAAAATGCAAGTTTGTTGCATTATGACACGATTGGAGGGGGTGGCCAGCCCAGCCATCCGGGTGGGTAGAACCTGGAGAGAAAAGCAGTGAAAATTTAGGCCCCCTTGTGGGACCCAACAAAGCTGTGATTCAATATGTTAGGAGGAATAAGGAGGGAATCATTTAGGGAAAGATTTTCAATTTGAATTTAAAAGAGAGTGAATGTTATTTAAGGATGTTTCCTGAAATATATTAAGTTGTTTAGGAATGTTTCCTAAATCATATTTAATTGTTTGGATAGGTTTCCTAAATCAAGCTTAATTATTTAGGACAATTCTATTAATGATTTTGTGTTCTAGGACTATTTAAGGGGGAGTTGTCCAGGGTTTATGGTATGCTATTGCTGAATTATGTGTTTTGTTGTAGTTCTTTTCTTTAAGGACTTCTTAGAGGTGACTAGGTTGTTTGGGAGAGCCGATCTATCTCTCTAATTATAGATTAATTGTGTATTGTCTTTTCTTTCATATACAATTCAACCAAAAGTGTTTTGGAGTGTTCTTCTTCATCGTTTACTTGTTACCATATTTTGTTTTGCTAAAATTGAATATTCAGCAAAGGTCTTCTTCAAGTTCTGTATCAACTTCGTATCAAATTGGTATCAAAGCGATGTTTTGGAGAGATGGCAGCAAAGAAGGTCGATGCGTTGGAAGGCAAAGTAGAGAAAAGCAAATCCTGGTTTAGGAAAAGTTCTCAACCATCAACGGGAAGTTTTCGACCATGGAAGAAAGGTACTCATCCATAGAAAACCGCTTTGAAAACTTGGAAGATGTGATGAAGAAAATAATCGAGATGCAGCCGAAAGCTTCACCGACGATTCCTAGGGCTGAACCAAAGGGAAAGGAAATTCTGGAGAAGATGATGAGAAAGCTCATGGAGATGCGATCTAAAACCCCACGACAGTTCCAACTGCTAACTCTAATCAAGATTTGATCGGAATTCCCTTGGCTAAATCTAAAGAGAAAGAGATCAGACGTGAAGAGTTTGACGAAGAGAACTCCTTTCAATAAGAGCCACCTCCTAAGGCTCCAATAAGAGGCTGAATAGGATTTTCGGAAGGGGGGCTGCAGGGAGTGTTATGGTGAGGAGGGTATGGTGACCTACCACTATGGGAGGTTGCTTGGGCAAAGGGAATAGATGACTAGAGAAGGAGAGGGGCGGGCTGCATAATGGGGATCAGGTCATGTGAGGCGGATGGAAGAAATGTAGGATTCCACCCTTGATACACAAGAAAAACATGGAGTGATCACGACAACGAATGAGAGTTATTTAGGAAAATATTTTCAATTTGAATTGAAATAAGAGAGGGAATATTACATAGGGATGTTTCCAAAAATATATTTAATTGTTTAGGAAGGTTTCTTAAATCATGTTTAATTATTTAAGAAGATTTTCTAAATTATGTTTAATTGTTTATGAATATTTCCTAAATCATGTTTAATTGTTTAGGAAGGTATCCTAGATCATGTTTAACTGTTTAGGAAAATTTCCTAAATCATATTTAATCATTTAGGACAATTCTATTTATTTATTTTTTATAAATATGAAGTTGAATTAAATAGGATGATTCAATTTATGATTTTGTGTTCTAGGACTATTTAGGGTGAGTTGTCTAGGGTTTTTGATATGTTATTGATGAGTTTGGTGTTTTGATGTAATTATTTTCTTTGAGGGTTTCCTAACGGCTTCTAAGTTGTTTGGGATTGCCAATCTACCTCTCTAATCGTAGATCACTTGTATCTTGTCTTTTCCTTTATATATAAACCAATAAAAAGTGTTTTGGAGTGTTCTTCTTCATTGCTTACTGTTATCAATTTCTGTTTTGCTAAAATTGAATATTCAACAAAGGTTTTCTTCAAGTTATGCATCTACTTTGTAATCACATTAGTTTATTGCATCAAAATAAGTATTATATGCCAAATATACATAAGAAATCCTAAACTCTAGAACATCCTACATTAGTACCTCTTAATGAATGAACTAAAATCTACTTGTCCTATCCTAAACAAAGTGAACCCTTAGCAAATATTGTAGCTCTTGAAAGTAAAACACAGGAAACAAAAAAAAGTATCAACAAAACATACTTCTTATCTTTCAAGGAAGGACGTACTCTTAACTTCTTAAGTTATAATTTCTGGCATTGGTTTGTCATATTACATCTTGCTAGAAATAAATTTGACCAATAAAAGAAACTCCTCACAAATACACATAAAAGATGCATTTGTTTGCAGTCATAAATAGAATGATAAAAACCTACTACTTTAACTCCCATAAATGGCTTCTTTTATAGAAAAGCAAATTTGTCACGATTAAAAAAAAAACAGATTTGGCACCATATTATTCACGCTACTGCTATAACGCCATGCAACAAAGAGACAATTCACCAAGAACAAGGAAAAAAATATCAAAGAAAAATAAGCAAACTTAGTTACTGAGAGCTAGACTTCTCAAATTCCCACTCCTTTAAGGTATTACAAGCCTCTTTACAATAAAGAAATGTGAAAATTTTCTGAAATATGCCCAATAAGAGCACTATTTCCGTTTTATAGCTGAATATTGAAATCCTGCCTCATTATTCCAATGAACTATATGAAAGCAACTAACGGACGAATGCGAGTGCAAAGCCAATTAACATGTCAACGTTCCATGCAACAAACCTCCAATGCATGTTCTAAATACCTAAGGGATAGTTTATTATATTTATATATCTACTTTTTTATTTTAGAAATGAACAAAGAACTATACATATTAGAAGGTATTAGTTGTCATTGCCTTCTGCATCACATTTAAAGTTTAATTTACACAAAAACAACATCTCTAGAAGTAGAAAGTAATCTGTGTTTTGACAGTTAGCAAAGACATCGTACCTTTTTTTTATACTTACACTTGAAATTTGAAAACTTCACAACACATTCATGTCCCAAATATAGAATCAATAAAGTTAAAGAAAGAATACAATTGCGAAGCAAAAAAAATAAGCTGTCATAAAATAACACTCGAACAATAACAGCAATAAAGTGTAACCAAATACACCTAAAACAAAGCCAAATTTACAATAGCTTGTTAATGCATCACATATAGTGATTAATTAATTGCAATTTAACTTGCAGTGGTGCCTACCAACCAAAAATTCCCTAGAGGACAAAAAAAGAAGACATGGCAGCAAAAACACATCAACATACACAAAAGATTGTTTTAAATAGATAAGATTCTCTCGCAGTGTAAGAAAGAATTCAAATAAGGCATCAATAAAGTCATATTTTAATCTTGCATGCATACACTATGAAATTAGCAAAAAAGCATTTATTTTGAAGAAACCCAAGGAAAAACATCCAAGTGCATGCTTCATGACCATCAAAAGCTTCAGATTTTCATAAATTACAAAGCTTTCCAAAATGATTGATATATGACTAAGACAGCTCCATATATACTCCAAATTTAGCAGCAAAAGGTTAGTGGGAGAAGCACGATGTCATAGTATCTATTTAGCTAAACCACAAGTTAATAATCAAAAGGAAATGAAGAAGAGGAAAATAGAATCTAAAAAGAATACACAAGCTAAAAACTAAATCATATTCGCATGACCAACAATTCATGCCAAAGTATAAGACAACATGCAATCTACAAAATGGCATTGCATGCCACAAATCACAAACCCCTTTCTGGCATTACAACCTCAGAATTAATTTGTTGAAATAAAAACCAAGGTACGTCTTATTTTACAGTGTAACAAAACCACTTCACTTTAAAACATATAACATTCATGAAGAAAAAATTTGCAAAAATTTAAATGAGAATTAATGTTTGAAAGTTTCCCCAAAAATTAGGGTACTGCTTAATAGGTTTAACATTACAAGAAATTAAAGGTGAACCTTGACTTCGATAACAGAATGAACATTAATTACATAAAAAGGTCAATAAAAGAAAACAATCAAAACTTGAAAGCAATGCCCCACCAATTGATATGCATTAAAACATGAAATGCAGCATCACTGACAAAACTAAAGATAAACATAGTAAGTTACGCATGGTTGGACCAATATAGTAAGTTATTCTAAGACGGCACAAACGTCAAGCAGCAGAAAAATTATTTTGTAGTTACCACCAAAGTTATTTTAAGAAAGCAAACAGTACATAAGGGCTAAGATCTAATACTTACATCCACAGAAACTTCAAACACCCTGCTACAGAAATGTAAATGAAAGAGTGTATTGCTACACTCCCTGAGTAGAATCCCAAAAGATTTAGGATATTATGGATCTTGGTGTCATTGCTTATGGGCTACTTAGATGACATAAATATAAAAAGAGATAGGAATCCACACAATTTAGCAAAAGTTACTTTCAATGAGAAATATAATCATCTACCGTATGACAAGATGGACATGTATATAAAATTTTTAACACCTAAAATTGAAATAAAATTTAACATCAAGGAAAAATTCAAAAAAAAAAGCTATAAATAAACTATATAAAATTCAATACAAGGATAAATCTGAATCATTGAATATGCAAAAGAAAAAAATACGGGAAACTGTCAAATCATGGCAAATTGGCACTCAAAAGTTAGCAACAGTCAGACAAAATATTGGCAATTAAATATATTTACAGTGCATATCATTCCATATTCAGGTCATCGCAAATTTATAAAAAGGAGCACATTGTTAATTTAATTAAGTGGAAGAAGCATCTTTGAGAAATAATATAAAAAAGCAAATGCGTAAAATCAATTTCAACAATCTTGGGCTCATTGTATTGATTTCGTCGAACCGCTCGATTCAATTATAATCACGTTACATTTGGAAATCGTTTGATAATCCAATTTATGGTTTGAACAATCCAAATGCGCTTCGGGTCTTCAATTTGAACCCATTCTGGCTCGGATTGGATCGAATTTGGTGTCATTGGGTTCGTCTCCTTGATACGTTGAATTTGATTATAAGTTTGCTAAAATTGGAGTTTAGATGGTCCCAGATTTAATTTTGGAAGTTACCAATTCTTATTTGCATCAAGATTTGTTCCTGATCAAGGCGATAAAATTTAGTATATAATATAAATTTAAATAGTAGTTATAATATTACAATAAATACCTACTCATTTCTTTAATTCATGCTATATTAGTTATTGATATAAATATATCTAATGTTCAATACATATATAATGTAATATATTACATATATTCCATAATTAAAAACTTTTGTTTTAAATACATAAATATATAATAGAAGTTAGTTAAATAGACTGCATAACATAAGATTTTTATTTAATAATTGTAATAACGACTTATACGGCAAAGTCGGGAAAATTAACAAAAATTTCAATCAAAGGAGAACCAGCAAAACAGTTTTCAGCATTCAATAGAATGCATAAATCTGTTTTCCACATTCAATAATGCAAAAAACTGTTTTCCACATTCTAAGAAACCCAAAAAACAATTTCACGTATCCAGGCATGCAAAAAATAGTTTTACGTATTTGCTCCTTTTTAAATTGTCCGTTAAACATACTTCTTCTACTTAATTAAATTAAAAATCTGCTCCATTTTATAAATTCTCCTTCAAGTCATCTAATAGTTGTTTCAAAATCAACAAGATAACCAAAACCATTTGAACCATGCTATGTCAGTATAGATCAGAAAACAAATGGAGGAAAGCCAATTACCTTAAAAATAATGGGGAATGTTGTGATACATCCCCCCACCAGGTGGAAACCGAGTTCCAGGAGATGACCCTGCGGGCTGATGGTGTTGAGCTTGGTAAATGGAAGAAGAAGAAGAATATGGTCCGCCATCAGGATAACCAATAGAAGGCATGCCACCAGAGCTTGTTGGTATGCGATTATATGAAGAACCCATGCCCAAACCTCCATAGCCACCAGAGCCTGGATACTGCAATGAAGAACCATATGGCCCGCCATTTAGACCACTTCCCACATAGCTCCCAACTCCTGATCCCCCTAGAGAAGGAGGAGCCTGACCACCCAGAGATGACAAACTGGAATTTCCTAAGCCAGTGGATGATTGCAAAGCCGAGTTCAGATGATGATTTTGGCCAATACCTGCCGCAACTACAGGGAACCCACCACTGCCAGAGAAACCACCATATGAAGGCAAGCCACCACCAGGGCCACCAAACTGGCTTGAGAACGAGCCAGGCATTGAGGACTGAGAACCCATCCCGAGCCCATCACCATGGCCATCACCTCCACTGCCTACCAGTGGTTTCCCTGGCACCCCAGCACCTGGAATAACAGTCCCAGATCTCCCCTTCTTCCCATCGGTGGCCAGCTTGCACTGCAAGGTATTCCCATCAATACTCTTTACAGGGTCAACAAGAGCCGCTTGAGCTGCTTCCACAGTCTTGTATATGAACAAGGCATAGCCCTTAAACTTGCCCGACTGCTTATCAAACCCCAGTGGCCCTTCCTCTATCTCCCCATAAGAGCTAAAGAGGGCACGCAGACGATCAAAGGGCATTTCAGCAGGGACACCCCCAACAAAGATCTTCCGCAGGGAAGCATCGGAAGTAGAAGGAGTGGGAGCCGTGGGGCCGGAAACTCCATTGGCGGCAAGCTGGGTGATAGTCACGCGGCCATCAATCTTCTTGTTGGGCTCCTTGAGGGCAAGAATCGCGCCATCGATGTGTCGGAAAGTGATGAATCCGTAACCCTTACTCTTTCCGGTAACTTTGTCGAGAATGACCACGGCCTCCGCCAATTCACCATAACTGGAGAAGAGGGACCGGATCTTCTCAGTGGTCGTCTCCCATCCAAGGCCGCGGATGAAAAGCTTGCGCTGGACGGGGTCGCGGTCAGCGATCTGGCGCACGAAATCCAGGGTGGCCTCGTCACGGCAAATGGCCTCCGCGACGATGTTCATGAGCTGCTCCTGGTTGAAAGACTCGATGATTTTACGGGCATCTTCAGGGGTCAGATTAGCCGACAGAGATGGTAAGGCCGCGCCGTTCTCGTCGACCTTGCGCTTCTTGGAGGAATTTTCCATGGCCGCCTACGAGGGGGAGAGTGGAAACCCTAACAAAGAACAACGTCGTGAGAGAACGAACCGCGTAGATTTTTTAGACGCGGGTTAAAAGCCGGAGTGGTTGTTCAGCACATTTGATTAACTGAAGCAGATGCGGTAAATAACTAAATATTGAAATTTTAAATAATTTTTATATACTGATATAATTAAATTCTGAAAATTATTCTGCATAATAGTAATTAAATTCTATTAAATTTCTAGATATTGTTTGATAATTTTTTGCAAATTTTAATAAAAATATTAATGGATAATCTTTGAATTTTATACAATTACAATAATGAGGAGATATAATCATTAGTCAAATCATTATTAAATATTCAAGTTAGAGTGATAAAAGCAATCATGAGTTAATATTACATTACAAATTACATTATTTAAAAATTGATAAGCCTAATGTCTTACACTTGCTCTAATTTGTCAGTTTTATTATATGTCTTGTATCATCTTCTTGAATTTTCCTCAACACTATGTTCATGTGAGGACCTTTATTATCAATTGTTGTCTTATGCAATCTCTATCATGTTGCACGTCAATGTGAGATATATTAAAATAGCTTATTTATGTTGTACTGCCCTGTGAAATTGTATAACACTACACAAGTATTCACAATATCAACCCTAAACACTGTCCTTAAAACGTCTCTTTCCAAATGTCAAAAATCCTCTCTACTATGTTTATGTAGTTGTACATTACGATGGTTATAAGATTCAGATGCCACTGAATATTTATAAGATATTTCTCCATGGTACTCACTTAGATCATATCGATACCCTCTTAATTATGCAATAAGTTTGTCGTTGTTTGCATAATTGCATAGGCCGAGTCAACCAAATAATATTTCTCTTTAAATATATGAAATGCTCCTTCCTCCAATAACCACCATGGCACCTTTATATTTGCTGCAAATCCATCATAGCTATAAACAATGTAGGCAAATTATCAATCAAAAGAGATAGCAACTATTACATTTTGTGAAGTGAATCACTTTCTACTCTGATATATGTTTTGCAAGCGATGACTGATAGTTAACTTGTACATGCTTACCATCTATTGCATCGATTGCACTGCTAAAGAAATGATGAAATTATGATTAGCTCTTATATGCATATTGCACTTTGCTCCATAGGTGGTAGGTAGATGAACTCTTCGAGTAGAAAATGATCGCTTGTAGCACATGGTTGAGTAACATATTATAGTCATGTTCCATGTCCCATTTAGTAGTCCTGATCGGCCAAAATGTCTTGCAGTTGTACAAAAGTCTTGGATAGTAATACGAAGCAATTGTGCGTGTGCAGTGGATGATTGGCTAACACAATGACCATTTACTGATCACAAGTGTAGTGAATGTGATCACCATTTGAGCATAGGTATATAAATGCAATTATTTATACTTTTGTTTACACTTTGATTAATCCTAACTCAAAATATTTATAGTTTAGCCTGGATTATTCACATTCTCCGCATGAAAGATTGCACACATTAAATATCAACTAAAATATTTAACTAAATATTGAAATTTTAAATAATTTTTATATGCTGATATAATTAAATTCTGAAAATTATTCTGCATAATAGTAATTATATTCTATTAAATTTCTAGATATTGTTTGATAATTTTTTGCAAATTTTAATAAAAATATTAATGGATAATTTTAAAATTTTATACAATTATAATAATGAGCACTAAGTTATATATGATATAATCGTCAGCCAAATTATTAGTAAATATTTAAGTTGAGTGATAAAAGTGGTAATTAGTTAATATTACATTGCAGACTTATGTTTTCTCTATCTTTTACTAGTTGTCAGATTTATGATCTTGATAATCATCTGATTAAATTGAAAAGTTTAATTAAAAGACATTATTGGGCCTCTTCCAATATTATTACTAAAGGGTTAGTAGATTTGCATTCTTCTCATAGCAAGCTTCTCCTAAAAATTCAACCTAATGCATTGGATACAAAGTTAAATTCTGATTTAAAGGATGTGAATTCTCTTTTAATTCATTATCAAAATTTATGGAATTCATGGATTATTCAGAGATCTAAAGCTAGATGGTTGGTTAATGGTGAAGATGATTTGAGATTCCTTTACTCCAAAATTCGTTGTAGACATAATCATAATTATATAAAAGCCATTTATTCTTCTTCTGGATTAATTTCTGATCCTAAGGATATTTTGAATGCTTTTATTCAATATTTTAAGAGTCTTTTTAATTCTCCTAAGTCTTCTTTAGTTTGTGATTATGACGTTTTGGTGGGCAATTACATACCTTATGCTACTTTTTTTGGTCTTATTTTTTCCTATTAATTTGGATGAAATAAAAAAATGACTTTTTCGGCTCCTTCTGCGCCTGGGCCTGATGGTTTCACTTTTGAATTCCTTAAAAATGCTTGGGATATTGTGGGTCTTCTTTCTGTAAAGCTATTTTATATTATTTCTCTACGGGTTATATAAACAATGCTGCTAAAGACATGACAATTGGTGTTATTCGTAAATGTTCTCATGCTTCTCATATCTATGGTTTTAGGCATATATCTTTATACAATATTTTTTATAAGACTGTGGCTAAAATCTTGGCTAATCGTATGCAAAATGTCATGCCTCACATTATTCATCCTAGTCAATTTGAGTTTATTAAAAAGAGGATTTCCACTTATAATATATTATTAACTTCTGAAATCTTGAGAAATTTTGGCAAAATGAAATATTTTTGTGTCAATTTGGATATTCAAATAGCTTTTGATACTGTTTCTATATATGTTCTTTTTAAAAGATTGGTTTAAAAAGGTTTTCCGAAGAAATTTATTGGTACGATCAATGGTTGTAATGATAATATTTTTTTATCATTATCAATGGTTATTTGGAAGGGTTTTTTAATTCTTCGTCGCGTCTTCGTCAAGGATATCCTTTATCACATTACTTATTCTGTATCGTAATGGATGCTTTATCAAACTTGATTGATAATAGATTTCTTGGTGGTCATTTTGAGGGTTTTAAAGGGGGAAATTCTCATATTTCTCATCTTTTATAAGTGGATGATGTGCTTGTCTTCGATAAAACGATGATCTGTAATGCCAAGAAGTTTAACGATATATTGGATTACTTTTCTAGTTGCCCTGGTCTTTATGCTAATCATCATAAAAGTATGACTCTTTTCTCTAAAGATGCTTTGAAAAAAGATGGGATTTGTCAAGTGTTAAATATTTCTACTTCTTAGAATTATATTAAGTATTTGGGTATTCCAATTTCTACTAAAAGGCTGAGTGATGCTGAGTTTCAACCTTTATTTCGAAAGTTATTGATTTAGTTTCGGACTAGAAAGCTAAATTGCTTTCTTTTGATGGTAGAGTGCAATTTCTGAAATTCTCCATTTCAAACTATATTGCTTATTGGATTAGAGGCATGATTTTTCCTATATTCTATTTAAAGTTTATTAGGAAATGTTGTTCTAATTTTCTTTTTCATGGCAATATTCATTCTAAGAAAATGCATATTATTGATTGGAAAGATGTTTGCAAGCCTATATGTGGTGGGGGTTAAGGTATTTCGGATATTAATGCTCTTTATTTTGCTTATAATTATTCTAGTATATGTATAATCTTAAATTCTAAAAGTCTTTTGGTTGTTTGGGTTAAAGAGAATTATCTCTCTTTATGGAAGTTGTCATCTTTTAAGGCCTCTAATTTCTAGAAAAATCTCTGTAAGTTAACTCTTGCATGTAAGGATAAAATCTCCTTTACTATTACTGTATATAGTGGTTTATCTTTTTATTGGGATTCATGAATTGATGGTCATTCTCTTTATGATTTAGTTCAGAATATTCATTCTCATTAACAGTCTATTGTTGTTAGGAATGTTATCATGGAAGGTAGATGGTCTTTATCTATTTGTCTTCACAATTTAAATTTTTCTATTCCTATTCAGAATTCTTCTTTTTCTTGTATTCAATGGGATGGCGAGAATTTATCGAATTTAAAGTTTTTTCTCTTTGGCTTATTTTCTTAAGCATGCTAAAGTCTCTTGGTTTTCTTTTGTTTGGCATAAGCATTATGCTTTGAGGTATTCAGGTTATGCTTGGATGGCCTTATTACATAGTCCTAAAACTGTGAATATTCTTTCTAAAAGGAATATTTATATTTCTTCAGGTTGTGTTTTTTGCAATTTTGCATTAAAAGTCATAATCATTTATTTTTTAGTGTGATTTCACATATTCTTTCTAAAAGGAATATTTATATTTCTTTTCAAGTCCTTGATTTTATTGCTGAGCTTAATGTTTCTTGCAATGTTAAAAATATGTTCTTTTTAACTGCTTATTGTTCTTTGTATTATTTGTGGTGAGAAAGGAATGAGAGAAGGTTTTCGGGTAATTGTAGAAATCTGGATTAGATTGTTGGTCTTATTTGTCAGGCGATTTCTGCTAAAATCTCTGTTTAGAAGTTTTTCATTGAGATCTCAAGTTATTTTGTCGTTTGATTGATTGGGGTTTTGCTATTATTGTCAACTGAATTATTCTGGATGGACATTAATAGCTTGATTCTATTTTTTTTTTTTTTCCATTTAATTTTGTTTGTTCTTTTTATTTGTTGGTATGGGTGTTTTTTGAGTTTGTGGGTTTTGTTGGCAGCTTTCTGGTTGATTGGTTCTTTTATTAGGTGGTTGATGATCTTTTATTTGGTTGGGGTTTTGCTATTATTACAACAACATCAAGCCTTTATCCCACTACGTGGGGTTGGCTACATGAATCCTTTTTCTCCATTGTGTCATATTAAAAGTCAAATTCCCGTTTAAATCTAATAAAGAAAGGTCATTCCTAATATTTTCTAACCAATTCTTTTTAGGTCTACCCCTACCTTTCTTAACATAAGTCAAATCTAATACCTCTACTCTCCTAACTGGGTCATCGGAAGGTCGCCGTTCCCCTAAAGGGTTTTGCTATTATTGTCAACCAAATTTATTTTGGATGGACATTAATACCTTGTTTTTGTTTTGGTTTTTGGTTTTTGTTTCTTTTATTTATTTGTTCTTTTTATTTATTGGTTTGGGATGT